CACCGCCCTTAAGGTCTTTGCCGACGATTTGGACCGTTCTTCCCATCGCGTCGTACGTTCGCTCCAGGGCCTCTCCAAGCACGTTGATCTCCCTAACGAGACGGCCGCTCCCGTCGTAGGAGCGTGTCAGACCCCTTGTTCTCTTGAGCGGGTTCTGATATGGGTCGTTGATATCGATGACACAGCCTAGAGAGTTATACTTGCGCTGTTCGACACGGCCGCCCGCATCGGTGAGCTCGACGAGCCGGCCCCGTCCATCATACTTCCATGTCTTGACCTGGCCGCTGCCGTTCCGTGACAGAACGATCTTGTCCTTGCCATCCACGCTGGCAAACTCCTGATAATCCGTCTCAATGATGGGCCTGGTACTCACCGGCGAGAAAAAATCCCCGATCATCGCGGCGGTGCTGAAGTGGGTCGTGCGAGTAGACCCGCCCCGGCCATAGACGGCGTCTATAGCCGTGAACCCGTCGGTGGGGTTACTTGCCGGCCGTACAAGCAGCACCGCCCTGCCTAGGGCATCGAAGACGGAGAGTGTCGAGCGGGAATTGTCGGGAGCCGTACTCCAGCCTGAGGGATCGGGCGCGTATAAGGTGCTCCTCACGACGGGATTGTTTCCCGTGTCGTACTCGAAGAATGCCCACGACCTGCTGGAGGCTACACCGCCGCCGCCACTGCTTTTCGCGTCCAATTGCTCCGCGCTGCGGCGGTTGCGGCCTTTGCAGTCCACAAAGTGGGTGGCAGGTAACACCGGCATCGAAGACGGACCGGCGAACTTGGCCACGGACTTTGTGGGTGCCGGCTTCGAGGTCACCGGGTCAATGTCGGTCGTCGCGTATGATGTCTCTTGATTGCGACAGAGTCTTGAAGTCTCCAGTATCTTGCCGAAGTCTTGGCTCTTGACACTCGTCCCGGCCGGTCCTCCGTCCCACTTGAAGTCGTCCGTGTCGGACTTGGTGGCGGTAATCGCCTTGGTTCGCTCCCGGCCCCACTCGTCCACGGTGGTGGTCTGAATGACGCCCTTCTCCGACATGTGAGCCGTTGCGACGCCGTACCTTGCGTCCCACGCGTAAGCCGTCTTGAGGTCGACGCCTGTCCCCTTGAGCGTGGTTCCGACGACATACTGGGGGTAGAGGTCATCATATGTCATCGTCGTCGACAGACCGGCAGTGCTGGTCTCGGCCAGCAGATTGCCAAAAGCATCATATCCGAGGGTGGATTCGACGAATTGCTGAGAGTCCGAGGACCACAATCGCTGTGTCGTGATGAATCCTTGGTCATTGTACACGAACTGAGTCAGGCTAAGATCCGAGGACGAGTACGTGCTGAAGTCGTTGCTCGCCGCGTTGGAGGTCACCTTGCTGGCAGCGGTAAGGCCTTGGACGCCCAACCGAGTGGTGGGAGCGTACTGGCTCAACGTCCACCGCTCTCCGAGCCGCGTCTTATTCTTGGTGGGCTCACTGATCTCGTACGAGTGCTCTACCGCCCTATCCCTAGACTCGCCGTCATACCCAAACTCCGTCATTAAGAGGCGCTCCGCCACCTTGCCCAAATCATCAAAGTAAGTCCTTGCTCTCGAAGTCTGTCTGACGATATAGCAGGCGGGTCTGCCACCCCGCTTAACTGCCTCGAAGCCGTTGGAGACGGACTTGAGCAGGATCAGTTCGTCCCCAGCCCACGTTGATTGGTGACTCTTTTCCAGCCCCTTGATACGCCGTTGGAGCGCTGTTGGAGAGCTGCCGTACGTGTTGCGGGTCTTGACAAGCCCGCAGAGAGGCCACTCCTGGAAGTAGGTCGTGAGAGCACGCACGCCAGACACGGTCTCGGTGCGCGAGACTTTCTCAAAGCTGGACCAGCTTCTTCTCTTAACGTCAAAAGCACCGTTTTGGTACTTGTACTCGTAGTTGGCAGAGTAGGGAATTGGATTGACCCTGGCATCGTTGTCCTCGCGGACGCGTGTCACGAGGTAGGCCGGAATGGCGATACAGCGCACATTCTCATCGTCGTCTGCAGGGCGGTACGTCTTGTAATCGACACCAGACTCGTATACCTCGGCCCGCGTGGCGGAGCCATATTCAATTGTGGACCGTAAACCAATCGGGCTGGTGACGGTTTGAAGGTGGTCAGAAAGCTGGACGTTGTTGTAGATGGGGCGGACGACGGCGTGATTGTCGTATAAAGAGTACGCGAGCCATCCACAGCGCGACACCCCGTTCAGATCAATAGGCGTTAGGTGTAGTTGGTCTGCGGGATCGCCCAGCGAGGCGCCGCCGGTCTGGACGAGAGGCTGTGAGAGGGCTTGAAATGAGCCCAGCTGGCCGTTACTGTTACCGACGGCCAAGATACAATTCCAGGTCTTATTGTCGGCGTTCGGGTATGCGTACGCAATGCCACCAAAACGGGCACTGGAGGGGTTCACAGCAAAGACGCGGCCCAGGCTCATCGGTTTCGCCGAAGTAACGACAGAGGTCTGCTCGGCCTGCCGCGCAAAATTGCCGTTGGAGTCGTGGAGAAAAGTCGTTGTGGTCATGGTGAAGGTAGCAGTATCTCCGCCGCCACAGCTGGCAACGCGTGCGGCACAGACAACAATATCCAGACATCCATCGCCGTTGACGTCGCAGACAGCCGTCGAGCGCCGGACCTTGTCCTCGGGCACGTAAGTCAAGATGGGCTGGGAGCTCAGGAGACTGAAGGCTTGCCCTTCCGAATCGTGCTGCATAGAGCCCATGCTGATGACGTCTACCCATAAACATCGAGACCCAACACCGGCGGAACCTTCCATTACGTGGACGAGAGCTGGCGCGCAGGTCGTGTCGTTATGGAAGACAAAATGTTCGATGGTAAGCCCTCGCACCGGCCACGCAGGCGACTGGCGTGACGGGGGTATGGCGTTAGGCCGCGTTATCATGGCGGCCACATCATAAAAGGTGCGAAGGGAGTAGGTGCGAGCACCATGATCAGTTATCATTTGCAAGATATCTATCTGACCGTCACCAGTGGTATCGGCGAGCAAGAAGCGACTGCCGTGTTGCCAGGCAAAACCGGACGTGATGATGATGGGCTTGTCGAACCCTTGGCCGTTGGCGCGCAGGACGGCAAAGGATAGGGAATTCCTTTGGGGGTTCCTGTACGGGATGACGAGATCCGAACGGCCGTCGTGGTTGAGATCGGCCACCAGGATATCGGGAATATTGTTAACGTCTGTCCAGGGCAACTGAACTGGAGCATGCCCAACGTCCATGCCGAGGTTCTTGTCGTGAGGCCACTGCAGTTTTGGGGGTGTATACGTCTGAGAGGACTGCTCTTGATGTGAAGGCATCGCGGCCAAGGTGCGCACTTGGAAGAGGCCGCTGGGACTAGGCAGCTCTAGACAGACGAGATCACTGTAGCCGCGACCTGTGGTATCAAGGGGCAGGATAGCGGCAGGGGCGGCGCCAGTACGCAGGGTGAAGGCGCCGGCCGGGTCCTGGGCGAAAGGCGATGTTCCGGCGGCCGAGTCATCGGCCGCAGTATATGTGAAGGTGGTCGGTGTGAGCGCATTGTTATTTGAGCCACGCTCCGTGATGGAGGCGAGAAGGGACTCGCCGCTGGCAGGAGACGACGTGTAGGTGAGATCAAAAGCCCTGGCCAGATCTGACTGTTGGGCACTGTCAGGACTGCCAACACGAGCCTCGATGCGTTCGAGCCTGTAGCCGATGTTGCGCAGCTGACCATGGCGGACAACAACGGCACGATCTGGGCGGGTGTTGTAGAGGAAAGTCAACCAACAACGGCCCTTGTAGCCGTTGCGGGGGTTGCTGGTGTACTGGATGGTGTCGATATACGACACTTGTGTAGACGACGTCGACGACGATCCTTTCTCTGACGGCGGACGAGAGCCTCCAGCAGCCAGACCAGGAGACTGGGAATAGTGGTAGGTGACAGTGTTCCCATGGACGTCTGTAGTACTGCTGAGACGCCACTGACCGGGCAGCAGCCGACTGTCTGGCGTGGTGCCGTACTCTTTCGTGCGGCCATCAGTATCTAGGAGTTGGAAACCTCCAGATGCCAGAGATGTGACGACCTGGCCCGCGTCGACCTGGGTACAGTAGCGCGCGTCTCCCGTGCCATAGGAGCCCTGGAAGCAGATGAGCTCTGCACCATCGACGGCTAGACGCCAGGGAACGGGCACCTCCTTGCTGGCAAGAAAGTCTGGGTGCTGACGGATCGCGCGAGATGGCGCAACTCTCTCGATGGAAGACAAGCCCGCAACCGCCCAGCGGAGGCCACAAGTGCCGGCAGCATCGCGGGTTTGCGAGTACTGCAGACTGAGCTTGGGAGTATTTCCCTGCCCGATACCAGAGGGGACGGTGATGGGGAAAGAATAGCTGGCGTGGCCGTTGGCGTCAACGGCGAGAGCGCCCGAGGGTCTATCCATGAGTTTCCTGTAGAATGTACGAAATAGTACCGTAATTCAGTCCGACGAGGTGCGACTGCTAGCTTCGTCTCTTCGATTCTGCAATTCTGTAACAAAAGTAAGTGGTGTGTAGTGAGTGTTTGACAGAGAGATTTCCGACTTAGATACTTACACGACGGTTGGATGAATAAGTTAGTTGACAAACAGACACAAAAGACGAATACGAAACAATTAGTCTGTCCCTTTGGACGTGAAGCTTTTCAGCTAAGCCGTGATGCGCCACAACTCTATCCCTGTTTTCAGCCGTCGACGCTAGGTTTTCAGCTCACTCGTGACGTCTTCTGTCTTTTGACAAAAATACTCCGTGAAATTCCAGCTGCCTTTCCTAGTGAAAAGCGCAGTATTGGTGAGAGGACACCTTTCTTTACCCCGTCAGCTCAGAGGCGAAGCCACTCTGCGATGCTCTTAATACTCCGTCTTACCCCGTTCAATATTGATTGCCAACTAGCGAGGTAGTCGTCAGAATAGTAGCACATGCCAAACCACACTCGCCTACACACACGCACACACACAAGACTCTGGTCTTAGTCCGCAACAATTCACCATGTCTAGCGACGAGGCCACGGAAGCGCTGCTGCTCTGCTACTTGGACGGGAACAAACTCATCTTTAGATATCTCCGTCGCAACGCAGGAGCAGACAACAGCTCTAGCTTCGCGACCATCAGCAAGCCGTACCCGCTCAACTTGAGCAATTCGCTATACAGCTTGATCCCGGGCTACCGGCCTTCGTGGCCCATGGTCAGCTACAATGAAAATATAGAGATCAAGTCCACCGGCGCTCTGACCTGGCAGGATGGTCTCGCCCAGCTGCAAATGATCATCGTTGTCAGCCACGGCCAGCAGAGCAACGATGCCTCGAACCCGCGATACAAGGCCTTTGTGCTGGAGCTTACTCCGAGTCTGGACATCTGCTCCGCTGCGTGCCTGCCCGCGGGGACTGAGACGGGATCAGCTACTGACTGGGCCAACCAGCCCTGGTCCGCCGGCGTCAAGCAGGACGACTTCTCACACATGTCTGCGAGCATCCTGACCGTCAACGGCCGGCTGTTCGCCACGGCCTCGCCCTTCTTCCAGCCCATCGAGCACAACCTGCTAGTTCCTGACGCCAACGACCCGTATCGCGTACTCGCTTATGACGAAAGCAAGTGGCCCAGGGCCGACGACCGCTTTGCCGCACTCTGCTGCCGCAAAGACTCCGGTGACCGTGACTTCTCCGTGCCAGCACGGGGCGGGGCCGCGTACTTGGCCGGCTACCGTCCGTCCGCCGACTGGTTCGCCTCGCCGATGTCGATTCCAAACGGACCACAAGTAGACAACAGAGGCACAGGAAACGTCGGACCGCAGCAGCTCATCTACCTGGACAACTCGACTACCGTCTTTGCGCTGTATACCCCGTTCCCAGATGACAACAGCGGCCTGGGCTCATCAAGAGTCATCACGCTCGGCTTCACCAGCGCCACCGCCATGGGCAGGCTCACCTCCACCTCGACGGACACGCGGTGGTCCCTCCTCAACATCACCTCGGGCAGCCACGGCTTCCGGGCGGCCTGTGCCGTCGCCGTTCAGCCACCCGACTCGTCTGCTCCGCCGCTCCTTTACATCTTCGCCGTCGATTCCAACGACTACAACCAGGGCCGGCTGTGGTACATGACGCTGCCCCTGTGCGGCTACGACTCCATGTACGGCCACCCGAAGCTAGAGCCGGGAACCACCACCATTGACGTGTCCGCCCAGGCCGCCAGCAACGGCTTACAATGGATAGACGGCATTTCTCCCCAGCCCATAAACGCCGAACCGACAAGACCACTCAAGGTCGTCCGCTACGGCAACTCTCTTGGTGTTTTCCACCAGGCCGGTGGTGAGATTCGGTTGCTCAGACTCGACCTGCAAAAGGATGGCACCCTTACTGACCCTGCCTACCCCCAATTTAAACACATGTATCGTCAGTATACCAAAGTCACGTCTGAGAATTCGGCGTTGCTGGTATCTGCTTGCGCCATGCCCCTAAAGTTTTGCAACCGCTTTGTTTAAGACCCCTGAATTCGCTCGGGCACGGGATATGTGCGGTGGAGAATTGCAGATGAGCAGTCGCTGTCAGTAAAGGCGTGATAGGCAGATATCCAGAGCAAGGAGACCTTCAGGACTGTCACAAGTGCTTCGATAGTAGACACTCTGGAAGTATAGGAGATGTAAGAGTGACGTCAAGCGGGATTTGGTCGGCGCGAGTATAGGCAATGTCAGGGCATCAGCTGCGTCAAGTCTAGCAGAGAAATGTTGTTTTATGTTCAACCTCAATCAGATAATAGAATTGATGAATCAAATAGTCTAGTGGGTTGCAGTTTCTTTCTTTCCTCTCATCCTCTGCTCTCTCCTCTCAGACTATAAACTTCCGTATGATCGCCTAGATTTACGATACCTACCTTGCCTTAACATTATGTCAACGATATTTACGATGTCAGCAGTGCCATGATGCTCTGAGCTGTTACATTGCTTTTTGGCGCAATTGTGCCCAGTGTTCGTAGCCAGAGCGTTTAAGCCACTCCACGCAGCTTTGTCAAGCCTGCTACCTACATCTGTTGTAGCTGGACATAATATACCATGATATCTACGCCCGTTCTATCCCGCACGGCAACAGTGTGTTGCCGTACCCGGGCGTGGCTGGTTATCGGAGGGTAGAGGGGGTGTAGCAGCGAAGCCTGGCAGGTTGTCCTACAGCGCGTCAGGAGGCGGTAAAGCAATGCTACGTGATCAGGTGTGGAGCTGTGAATTGAGCTTCTGCCTGCTCTTGGCATAGCTACTGAAAGAGGCGGCTGAAGCTGAGTAGGATAACACAACCAATCATCGCATACCATGCGAGGCCAGCGCTTACTCCTGCGTCTCTTTCCTGGAGATGCTGAGGAATGATCCCGGTAGCTGTGACCTGACCGCTCAAGTAAGGTCTCATCAGCCGCTGGTACTCAATGAGCCTTTCTAGGGAAACCAGCGCAGGGGGTTGGTTGTTGCGGTGACGTGGAGTGCTTGTTGGTTTGTGGTTTGAGGCTTCCAGACATGCCTTGATAGGCCCAAAGCCGAGCTGGAGTGCGAACCCTTGTCAAAACCGAAGCAATGTCTTCCAGCCACGGACGCCACCTAATAGGAGTTGTTACCCTCGAAAAAAGGGCCAACAGATTGGGGAAAATCTTTTCGCTTCGCTCGCTTCCGCTCAGTCACCGGCTTCGTTTTCTGGTGCGAGGCCAGCAGCATCATGCCGACCGATTACAACCAGAACTTCAGGATACGCGGACTACCCCGCGAATACGAGACTAGGGCTGACGTCCGTGTATTGATCAAGGAAGTTCTTTCTCTCGAACCCAACGCAAGCGTCATTGTTCATTCGCTTGCGATTTGTCCTGTCAAAGGAGACAGTCGAGTCGCAACTCTCCGTTTCAATCCCCTCCCAGATTGCTTCTCAGATCGCTCTAGAAATGAATGGGTGGTTAGCCTAACGAATGAGGATGACTCCGACTTTAAGGCACCACTCATATTCGATACTCACTTCTCAGGCTTCACACCTCTTCAACGTACCGTCGACGAGAGTTGTAATGTAGAGTGAGTTGACGACAATCTCACGGCGACTTACGCGGCATTAACCCATGTTCCAGTGTGATTGCCATGTCTGGCCTCGGAGGGCATGCATTTGGTTCGTTCAAGGAAAGAGGAGGACCTTTCATGTGGCTCCGAGATGCGCTTCCATCAGACTTTCCAAATGCAAGGATCTTAATATATGGGTACGACACTCAACTTGTACAGAGCAGGTCCTTCCAGAACTTGTCAGATCTGGGTAGAGCTCTCCAGATCGATTTGAGAGGTATTCGGGTGTGTATATCACGCCTGGAATCCGAGTCGCTCTATGTATCTAATCTAGCATACAGGACCCAATGCATTCTCATCCCATAGTGTTTATTGGTCACAGCCTGGGAGGTCTTGTTATCAAAGAGGTCAGCTCAAACCAAATTACCACCGAAGAAGGAATTGGCTACTGATATCCTTGCTTTATCCTTTGATGCAGACTATAGTCAGAATGAAAGAAGAGATACACGAAGCGCACGCATCGATCCTAGATTCCATCTCTGGATTCATGTTCTTTGGCGTTCCTCATCAAGGCTTGGCCATCGAGTCACTCGTTCCTCTGGTCAAAAATCAGCCTAACCGGAGTTTACTTGAGTCGCTCAACAAAAACTCAGCACTCCTCCAACGCCTGGAGAAAGAATTCAACAATGTAATCAGTGCAAAAAGGCCGTCAATTGTGTCCTTCTACGAAACGGAAAAGTCTCCCACGGCTATAGAAGTAGGTTCAGTTGGTTTGGTTCGCCTCCGACGAAGTGCCTGCTTACAGTTAACTTAGGTGAATGGCAAGTGGGAGTTGTCTGGGCCTAGCGAAGTCTTAGTTGATGTCTCTTCAGCGACATGCTACAGCAATCAACGCCATCCAATTGACCGCAACCACTCTGAGATGGTGAAATACAGCCACGGACACGACGTGTTCTACAGGCGTGTCACCACCGTGACACGAGAATTACTGGGCACCACCACGCAGAGCAGAATCGGTGCCAGAAGTCCAGAAACTGGAGTTGATTGTGGGTAGCTAGATCCCAGTATTTGTCCAAACAATAAAATGACAGTTCTTGCAGCATTCATAATCCTTTCGGATGATAATAAGGGTATGGACCCCGAGGATAAATTGTAACAAATAGCTGACACGACTTAGACTGTCTCAGGTCACTATCGTTTCGAGAACAAGAGTACAGGTACAGCGATGTTTATTCCCCAAAGGACACCTGTGGTTGGCTTCTCGAGGATCCGCAATACCAAGCTTGGATGAATAGTGCGCGGGGCCTTTTCTGGATCAAAGGGAACCCTGGAACCGGCAAGTCAGTTCTCATGAAATTTGCAGTCACAACGATGGATCGCAGAGGGTCCGGAGAACTTGTTGTGTCCTTCTTCATCCACGGCCGGGGAAACCCTTTGCAGAAGACTCCATTGGGTGTGTTCCGGGCATTGCTTAACTCCATGTTGAAGTTCTTCCCACAACACCTCTCTCAACTCACTGAACGCTTCAAAGACCGGCAGGCGCGATTTGGGGCTTATGAAGAGAACCGATGGAGTTGGGCCGAAAGGGAACTCCAAGATTTCATGTACGAGATTTTGACCAAGGGAACAAAAAAGCAACCTGTGGTCATCTTTGTCGATGCCCTTGATGAGTCTGGCGAAGATGATGCAAGGAGCTTACTGGCGTACTTCAAAACCCTCATGAACGACATCGAACGCGAAAAGGCACCGGTCAAAATATGCTTTTCTTCGAGACATTATCCTATCCTTGGGTACGAGACAATGCCAGCAATCCACGTGGAAGAGAAAAACGACGAAGACATTAGGCTAGTCGTTCGAGAACGACTCAAAGAAATTCAACCGATCGCAAAGCGGCAACAGCTCGAGAATGAAATCTTGATGAAGGCTCATGGAGGATTCCAATGGACAGTACTGATTGTTGCCTTGATACTCCATGGAAGCGTTATTGGTACCAGGGTCGAGAATCTGCACAAAAGACTCACAGCTATCCCGGAAGCCCTTGATGGGTTGTACGCTGAAATATTAGGCGGTGTCGATGCTGTCGAGCACCACCAAATGACGAAACTCTTCCAATGGATCTTATTTGCCGCGCGGCCCTTGTCTTCACACGAGCTCCGAGAAGCCCTTGCTATCGATTATAACGATATGGACTGCACAAATATTTCGCAAGTCAGACGCCACGACAACTGGACAGATACTGCAACTCAGTTCGAGAGAATCGTCACACATGTTTCTAAAGGCCTCGTGGAATTCCGAACTCGCGAGATTTGGGAGCAACACGATCCTGATGGGGAGGACTGGGACCGGGAAGCTCAATTCATCCACCAGTCAGTTGCGGATTATGTGCTAGGAAAGTTTTTCAAGCCCAATCCTCACAATTCTTCTTCTCAATGTCCCATTGGAGCAAGTCACTTCGAAATATCAAGGTCTTGTCTGAGCTATCTGACTTTGAGAGAAGTCTTAGAAGGCGCTCAGCTGTCTTTGGGGAAACTCTCAGCAAGATTTCCGCTGGTACCATACACAGCACAGTTCTTGTTCCACCATATCCAGGAAGTTGAGCGTGCAGGAATTTCTCAAGATGATCTCCTTACGTGCATTTACTGGTATCGACAATCTGAAACCTTGCATAAGATCGCGAGCCTATGGAGAGTGATGGATCCTGACAATGTTCACGCACCTAGGGGATGGCCATTTGTTGGAGCAACACCCCTTCATGTTTTGGTGGGGTTTGGCTCAAAGAGCTATTTAGACTCATTGCTTATCAAAGACCATGCAGAGCTTGAGGGTAGAGATGCAGATGGGAATACGCCATTACTCCTCGCTCTTAGAGAGTGTCGCGAAGATATGGCCTTACTATTGCTGGATCGTTCCATTGATTGGCAGCTTCAAGAGGAGGCAGTTAACCTCAAGATCTCTCAAGACGATAGCCAAGGGCAGACAAGGAACTATCTTTCTCACGTGAATATGGAAAATGGTGATGGGGAACTGCCCTTGACCGTTGCCGTGACGATGGGAGCTGGGCAGGCAATCTTCAGGTTAATTGAAGGGGGTGCTGATCTCGAAGTCTTCGGGCACCAGAAAGAGCTCGTGTCATACGCTATCCGTCACAGACAAAAAGCTTATTTCAATACTGTTAGAAAAGGGTGTGGAGCTCGACGGAGCTATCTTCTATATGGTCAAGGACATGTCTGAGAACGGTGATCTTGATGGTCTAGAAATCTTGTCGAAACTGCTAAAGGCCGGTGGTAACACAAGCAGATCAAAGGGTTTTGACCTTATTGAAGATGGAGATGAAGATGAATATGGACACGACAATGAAGCGATAAGTTTAGCTTCGCGAAGAGGCTATACGGCAGTTGTCAGCCTTCTACTGTCACACGGCGCTTCAGCGGATAGACGAGACTTTTTCGGCGAATTCCCGTTGCTTATCGCCGCAAGGAATGGACATACGGAAACGGTGGAGGTTCTACGCCACCACGCACCGCAAATGGTTGGAATGATTGGTGCCTACAAGCAGACAGCCTTCGACGTAGCCGTTGGAATGGGCCACTTTGGATTGGCAATGCGGTTTCTGCGGCAAGGCAACCAAGATTCCGAATCAGACGCGTCATTTTGGACGGCTGTCAAAGCGAACAAGCCGAGATTAGCGAAAGCAATTCTACACGTAAGACTAGAGAATGGAGATGCGGGCAATGAAAGAGACCTAGATGGCCGAACGCCATTCTTATGGGCCATCCAGATGGGGCATGAGGCAATAGTCAAAATGTTTCTCGATACGGGCAAGGTCGACGTCGATGAAAGAGACCAGTATGGCCAAACACCACTCTTATGGGCCATCCGGATCGGGCGTGAAATAATAGTCAAAATGCTCCTCGATACGGGCAAAGTCAACGTCGATGAAAGAGACCAGTATGGCCAAACACCACTCTTATGGGCCATCCTGATCGGGCGTGAAATAATAGTCAAAATGCTCCTCGATACGGGCAAAGTTAACGTCGATCAAAGAGACCAAGGCGGCCGAACACTTTTCCTATGGGCTCTCCAGCTGGGGCGGAGAGCGGTAGCTAAGGTGCTTCTCGATACGGGCAAGTTCGACGTCGATGAAAGAGACCAGCATGGCCAAACACCACTCTTATGGGCCATTCAGCATAGATGTGAGGCGACGATTTTGCGCAAAACAATTCATCATCATCATCATCATCGTCGTCGCCGTCGTCGTCATCATCATCATCATCATCATCATGCGACGATTGAATTTCTTGTGTTTGTGGGTAATGCCGACGTCAATAGAACAGATGAACATGGTCGAACGCCACTGTTATGGGCTATTCAGCATGGAAAAGAGGAGGTGGTCGAGTTGCTTCTTGACACGGGCAAGGCCGACGTCGATAAAAAAGATCACTATGGCCAAACGCCACTCTTCTGGGCTTCTCAGTATGGGCTCAGGTGGGTGGTCAAGCTACTTGTGGACACGGGTAAGGCCGGCGTTAATGGGAAAGATCAATGTGGTCGAACACCACTCTTATTGGCCGCTCACCAAGGGCACGAGGCGGTAGTTAAGCTTCTTCTCGATACAGGTAAGGTGGACGTCGATGGGAAAGATCAACACGATCGGACACCACTCTCATGGGCTGCCGAGGAGGGCCACGATAGGGTAGTCAAGCTACTTATGGACACAGGCAAGGTCGATGTCAATAGGAAAGATCAATATGGTCAAACACCACTCTCAAGGGCTGCACAGCGGGGGCAAGAGGCTGTTGTCAGGCGGCTCGAGTACTCATAGAAACTTGCACACTTTGCATGCAGTCTCTTAACCAAAATTTTCCCCTACGTCTTCGCTGAAGTATGAGATAGTCAACGTTTCTATAGCAACCAAATCAATTGCGGCACCTTGTCGTTCCCCAAACCAGCCGAAGCTCTCTTTGAGAAGCTGCATCTCAGCATCCTTTCCGTAGCTTGGACCGGCTAACTCTGGTTGATTCTCATGCGGCGGCCTACATGCATTGAACACAGATGCACATTCCACTTTATCTATCGAAAGAGAAGGATGGAAGGTGCTTCAGAAGTTAGAGAATGATCCGCATCGAAGGTAGTACGTGTCCAGCAGCATCTGCCAGGCGCGCATATCTGGAAAGATGGATTTTGGAGGTGTCTCTATACATACCCTGCCTCATCCCTTCTCGACGCCTTTTGCTTCGCGAAGCTTAGTAACCTACCCTCCCCGAAGACATGATGTTGGGCTCATTATTACCAAAGTCAATGCGAACCCGGAGTAAACAGTCAATCATACCTGAGTTTGAATGCACCTACATAAACTTCCATGACCAAGCTTGCAACATCGTGGAAAGGCATATGTGGGGAGTCGGTGCTAACTTACTCACCAAGCTCTTCAAGGCCGAATCTCACACTCAGCCGAAAATCATGACAATATTATTTCCCGAAGTCCAGGTTCGTCCACAAGCATTGACTTCAAAGTACTACATTTGTTTAAAGTTTCGTGACTCAAGATACACAGTACTTGCCTACTTTTTGGAGGGTTGCTCTGGGGGAAAGGCTGATGTGTACTAGACAGCGCCATCTTCAGTATCTTTGCCATTGGAAGCAGGGAAACAGCTTCAAAGGCGGACGTAAAAGCAACACTATCAAGAAAGTTTCAATGAATTGATGATGAGCAATCTTATTCCTTGGGCTTTTTCTCTAGTTTACTTCACCGAGGCCCAGTGGTAGCGTTCCCCACCACGATCGTGCCAAAGTGGACCACGATAGCTTCACAAAAAGATCAAAAACATACAACACCAGGTATTCGCTGGTCGCCACCGACCCAACTACTAATCCGGCCCTCATTGGCTTGTCTATGGGAGAGCGGACGGGATCCCGAATTTTCCAATGGGTATGGTCGTATGTGAAGGTATTGCGAGATCCTAGGGGCTCTGAAGGGCGAGAGATCACACTGCAAGGCTTAGGGGCCATCTCAACCTATACTTTCCTCCGATTTCTTTCATTTATAGTGTGCCATATAGAAGTTTATTTGAATCACTTCAACTAAGCATAGAAATCATTTACCGAGCACAGTCGTGAGGGGGGCTGACCCAGGCGTGATGATGACTTGTCGAGATCCTTGCCCTGACTTGTCTCTAAGTGCTATCGTAGCCCAACTTCCCTTCGATTTTGCTGATATTTGGGATTTGAGTCCTTGCCCATCACTCTCTAGCATTAATCATCCTATTGGTGTCTGCCTCTGTATCATTGTTGTTGATCTTGACAGCCTCTTCGCGCTTCTCATCTGCCACGGCCGCTTCTACTGACGCCTGTGTCAGGGATATAGATGCCATGTGCTCTCCAACACCATTATAGACGCTGATTCCTTCATTTAGGATATTGTTTGGGCATATAGCGGCCATGTCCAGATATTCGTTGAATGGATAGCTGCATAATTAGTTGAGGCCTCCCTCAATACAGTTCAAATCAGCCTCTTGCCACTGTGTCAATGAAGGAATCTGATCATCCAATAACGCCTGGGTGAAGTCGTATTCATCGATTGAACCGAAAGTAGCGAAACATGAAGAAATACCCGCAGTATCATCAATTCCGTCTGTACCGGTCTCTAGTAGCAGTGACGCGACAGATGCGTCTTGGGGAATCGACGGAGTGAGGTCCTCAACACATCTCGCGTCAGATGGGTTTTTCATAGTCGACGAGGATGTGGCTTTTGTTGATGCAGTGCAGGCGTCTCCTGGATGCTACGGGCCGTGGTCTTTGTTCGTCTTGGCGATCTTCTTTCGAGCAAATGTCTCGAAAAGCATCAACATTGCGCGCCTTTTGGCGCCATCGAGGGAGACTTCAGCGATTTCCTCTAGTTTTGAGAAGAACTGCTCGCCCATGTCAGAGTAGTTGTCTTGTGTGAATAGCTTCTGAAGTTCACTGTGTTCTACAATGCTGTCATCATACTGGATCCTGTAGACTGTAGGAAATGTCAGTAAATCCGAACAACCCTGGAAATATCGACGAGTGACCTGAGCCGACATACAAGGGTCTGGAATGACGGTGCAATCCGGGAACAGTATGAGGTAGATGTTCCTCCAATTCTCTTCCTCCGATCTATCGCCTCGTGTCCGCTTCCGACTTTTCAATTTCTTCAGCTGGTCTTTGTTAAAACCTTCGAAAGAGACATTCTTCACGAGATTGCAGGGCTTCTCCAGTTGAGCATGCTCTGCCGAGTCAGCTTGACTGTCAAAGATTTTGCCGCAACGTAGGCAGTGGGGCTTTTGCTCGTGGTGTCTGTATAGATGCTCTCTAAAGGCAGGACCGTCGATGATTAGTCTCGGCGAGCTTCCAGTTGTAGAGAGCACCTTACTTCAGTCTGTGAGTGGAGGGGAAGTAGCGAGTGCAAGAGAGAGTTTCTCCATACACTGCTGGATTGAACTTGAGATATGGGCAAGCTAGCTTAAGTCCCTTGGAATGGAATGGTGTTGGTACGTTGGTCGGATTGGGACACCGCGGCACAGAGAAGCAAGTATCTTTGGATGACCTGGGCGTCTGGAGAAGATCATCCGTCTTCTGTGCCTCTTCCTCACCAATCGCATCGGATGACTCACGAGGGTTGATCTTGATGTCGCCACTGCCATCTGTCGAAAGCCCAGGCGATTTTGCGAGCCAAGCTGAATCGTCTTGTCTGGGAGCTATGCTTCTCCTGGGCCCTTGAAGTCCGATTTGCGTTTCTTCCTCGCCTTTACTAGACTTCTCTCTATTCAATGCGCTGTTCTTAGGCTGCTCTGAAATTGCCGTAGATGTCTTGAACCTATTCGTTTCGCCAAGCGTCAGCTGGCTAAACTGTTTTGAAAGTGCGGCTGCGCTGGAGGACTCGAGATCATGTTGCTCATGGCCATGGTGAATCGTTCTAGAGATCGAAGCTACCGATTTAAATGTGGATTCTTCTCCTCCTCTTGGCCCTCCCGATCCTACCCCTCCGTCATCTCCGTAAATGTCTAAAAGTCGATTCGCGCCGCCCACCCAAACAGAGACACCGATAGATGGCGTCGATAGATCGGAATCGTAGCCCTCCTCTGCACTCGGCACGAGTCGCAGGCGACGTGAGCCCCATGTCAATTCTTCTATATAAGCTGGACAGGTGTCGTTGATGTAGTCAGTAAGACTCGGACCTGAACTAGACATGTCGTTTGAACTGTATCCACGGGATGACTAGGCACGGTAGTCCTTGGGGAGATAAAAGAGCCTCACACAACAACAGAATGATAAGCCTGAATGAATGGATTTCGGGGCGTACAGGCTCTTATTTGGGACGCAAGATGCTAAGACGATGTTTTGCGAAATCTCGCAAATTTCCTTCGCTGCACAAGTTACGCTGACTTGCCGCTGTCCAGTAGTGGGCCGTTGCGGTGTCGAAGGCTATGGGATGCTCTCTGTCAGTTGGTCAAGGTGCAGAAAGCAACGTCAGTCATGCATGTGCTCAATGTGTACCTTCACGTCATGTCACTCCTACCGGTCCATAGAAGTCAGATACCTGAACATTTTGTCATTATCGACAGGAGTGCATGCTTTGCGGAGATTAGGGCAGCCTCATATCAAGGATTCTTGGACAAAGGTAGGAAGCAAACTATGGGGGCAGCATGAACCCCTTCAAGTCATCATCGATTATTTTGTGACTAGTTATTCTTCCTACAATGTGCCGTTCTCACCTGCAACATGCTGAACCCGCATCGCAATAGTCCCAACTCCATCAAAAGCATTTATAGGATCAACCTCAAGCGTCTTGTCCTGCTCTTGGGCAAGATCTCCTTGTGAAGCATTCCCAGTACCCAGTATGTCGTCCAGCCACGCGTCTCCATTGTCATTGGCTAACGCCGCATCCCAGGCCGACCAGCAGGTAATATCCGAGTCCAAGTAGAGACCAAAGGCTTGAGAATCCAACAAGATGCTACGGGCCTCCGTTACTTCTACCGACGGCAAGCAGCTCGGAGCTATCACCGGATCCATCGGCGGCACTCCGCTTTGTGTTGCTTCATGCAAATCGTAGATCTCGTCATGCTTCCCTTGCAGCTTCTCGTCCGGTTTATCATCCGCAACCGTACGCAACAGCTTCTCGCTCGGAGCTCGAGCAGACCGTTCAGTCCCAGACGGCTTTTCAATCTGAGTAGACTTTGAAGGGGATGTGATAGCCCTGCTCTTGATGTCTCCCTCTGCGGAATGACGGAGCATCTTAACGGCGAAACCCTTGAACACATTCAGCAACTTCCTTCGTTTCTTTTTGCTCAAGCGGCCACCGACAGCCTCCTCCAGTTTCGAGGACATCTCCTCTTCCACTGGCGATGGTATATCTCTAGTAAAAATGCTCTCGACATCGTCTTGCTCCCGTACTGACGCCTGGCTCGTGGCGGACCGGTCATCCAGAGAGGTCTTGTAGACTATACTCAATGTCAGCTGGCTCTTCGCGTCGTGCTCATTCTCAGAGTACTCACAAGGATCCGGTATATCTCGGTGACTAGGAAAGAGAATCTTGAAAATCTCTCTCCACTTATCCTCTTCCGTCTCGACCCCCTTTCTACGCTTCTTACTCTTGAGAAGCTTCTCCTGAGCAGCATCAAACCCCTCGACACTGTCTTCGCCCTGGACGACGTTGCACAGAGTCTGCGCCTTGAGATGTGTCCCGACTTCGGCCTCGGTTTTGAAGAGGCTGCGACAGCGTGGACAGTTGGGCTTTTGCCTATGAGTTCTATGTAGGTGCTCCCTACGTACACAGCAGCGTCAGCCATACCAGTTTCTGGGAGCGGTATGCAGCCGCAAAAGACGGGACGGGCCACAACTCACTTCAGCCGGTGCGTGCTAGGAAACGCCGCTCCTCGACAGCTCCGTCTCTGACTATACCTCGACGGATCGTGCTTCAGATATGGACAAGCCATCAGCAGGGGCTTCGCGGGCTCGATAAAGGAATCGAGCCCTCTTGTGCCAGAGTATTTCGGTTCTCTAATCGTCTCCACGAGTGAATAGCCGGGAATGAATTGACTATTGCACCCGTGTTGGAGGCCGTCGGTGCAGTCTTGCCATAGCCCCGATGTTGGAGTGGCATGCGTATAGGACTGTGAAGGGTAGTCCACTGGCGGTAGACATGCCCCGATGTTGGACGTACTCCAGACCGGCGGGTCGTAACAGGACAAATCATAGTTCGGATTGTTGGAGACAGGATCCGGAGCTGGCAATGCGGCAACCGTCGGTCCCCCCGAAGTCGGATGCGCAGCAGCTTGCTGAGATGGCGATGTAGTATACGGCGCCGGCGCCGGCGCTTGCTGCTCATAGAAGGTTAAATGTGAAAGTTGCTGCGTCAAGCGCTCCGTGGGATCATAGCCCGGGCCGGGAGGAGTCCACATTGCCTTGTACGGGGTATGCAAGTACATGCTTAATTGAGGTAATACACGTCGAGAAATTGAAAGTCAATGATGCGCTGCAAATCATAGCAAGACCCTTAGATACCATGGCAAAAAAATCTCGATATCATCTCCATTGAATTGGCGTTCAAAGACGCGGGGGCGACACCATTCTTAAAAATACCATGCGCCCAAATCTCGCAACTTCGCATTTCCATGATTGGCCTGTGTGACATGAGGTAATCCCCGCACACACTCGAGGCGAACCACGAGGCAGAGCCTGGCTCAGCTGAATGACCGGTGGCAACCTGGGGGCCAGAACGAAACCAGTGGTCATCAGCTTATCCCTGGTCGACTGCGCGACGGGTAGCTACATTGGAACCGTTTCATTGCCCACCATCTACCACGCGCCTCCGCCCACCCTCCATCTCCAGCATCGCGGGCGTTTTCCTTACTTATATGCCGAGAGAACCATACGCTTGGGGGTGCAGAAAGAGAAGTACGTGAACAAGGTGCCTGGCCAATTGCACACGATACAAAATCTTCCAGGCCTATCGTCTCAGGGCTTTTGGAAATCTTCAGGAAGAAGTTGAGAGAAGCAAACAACTTTAGAAAAGAGGAAGGTAAAGCAAGACATGGAGAGACGACGGCAAAACTCAACTCCTCTACAGGATCCATACCCTCACTCGAGTTACCCCTCTCAGACGACTGTGTAGATGTTTGCTAGAAGAAAACCGGATACTTGGGTTTCTTTTTCAATTTTCGAAGCCTTCAGACGTCCACCGTATTCCAAGTGCCGTGAGTGCCAAAGAAGGCTCTACTACCGCACTCGTATTCGAGGGATACCAGAGCTTGAGCGCGTAAATGAGTGTCTCGCCCAGTCATGAGCGTGTGAGCTAACCCACAGCCTGATCTCAGGAACGCGCATCATTCAAAAGCAGGCAAGCAAGGCAAGGCCTGAGTTTTCGCCCGGCATGCCCCGCCATCACCCCGCCACCGACTTTCACGCACCCAAAATTACATCTTCTCTAGCGGTAGCCGGTCACGCAGCATCCAGCCAACTACCGGCACGTCACGATACTCTCGCATTCCAGACAACGATGCTAGCTAAGTACGCGCATAGTACGTGCGGCCACGTACTCGATGCAAATGAATTATCTCCTACAAAAAGTCTTTTCTACAAATACAGGGCTCCTCCTCCCCCGTTCCCTTGCCCCAAACGCCATGAGCGCTCTGCACCACACTTTGCTCATGCCTCCATGTCGAATTCCACTTCTTCTTTCCTCTCAAGTCTGAAGCCTCTCGTGTCGAATCTTTGCCGCTGAGCGTGGCTGGGTGCGAGTTCTGGTCTGACTGAGGATGCAACGGTTTATTCACTCGAAGAAGTCTCTGGGCGGAGAGTCGGGGAGAAAAAAAATCATGATTGATTGCCGCCAAAACGGAGAAAAAAGAAGTATGCCATGCCATGCCATGCTGACCCTTTCATGCCCGACCGTCCGTCGCCGTGTCAAACCATCTCTCAAAATTGTTTCTTTTTTTTGTCGCAAAGGTCTCCGAAAAAAGGTGTGATGCCAAACAGAAATATTAGTCGTCAAGTCGCGCTTGAGAAACTCCAACAATGTCTAGACGGACAGTCCGTAGGTGCGTTCTTCTAGTTCTGTGCCAACGATGAGGGACGAATCAGGCCATATTGCGAAACGCCCGTGAAGTCTGCCTAGCCCATAGGCTCCTATGACGCGTGAATCGTCAAAGTCGCCTCGAGGTCGTATGTTCGTGCAGAAGAATTATGTATGCTTGTTCAGTGCCACCATTGGCAAGGATGTAATGTGTGCTCGCAAGAGGCGATAGTCTTGCAAGAGTGAATTTAGTGCGAGAGAACGGGATGATACCGTGCCATTGAGTAGAGCGTAAGTGGTAAAACGGGCTCTGGCGCCCTTATTTTCTTCAGGGACGATGTGAGTCGCGTAAGCACTTTGAGGATCGAGGGTTTTTAAAGCTTAGTGCTTTCGAGCCGGAGAATACTAGTGTCGGCCCACTTGACTGTTGCTGGCGCGGCTGCGCTCATCCTCTTCCATGACATCGCTCAGGCGGGTCGGGTGATGATGCCTGGGGACGGTCTCCCAACCTGGAGCAGCATAGCCCGAGCCGGAATAGTCTTGGGCTGTTCCCTGCTGCTGTTCTCCAGCAGACGTGGTGGGGGTCTGCAGGTAACCGGCACTGGGAGGGTTCGTCGCTGGGGTTTCATACTCTTCTATACCTTCGTCAGAAACTGGGGAAGGTGGAGCAATGAAGGGAACCTTATTTCCCTGGGAATCGCGAACGAAGTGGCCTTGCGCATCGATAGTGTACTCACCTTCAGAGTATCCACCCTCGGAACCAGCACCCGTGTAGGTAACACCTTCCTGACCTGGATCGCCGGATGGATAGAGGTTGCTGGACGTGGCGGGAATGGATTGACCACCAGGGGCTTGAGAATAATCGCCAGCGTAGCCGGCCTGCTGGCCGCCGTATTGCTCACGGGAGCTGCCATGGCGACTGGGAACACCCTGCGTCATCGGGACGACCTGGACGCCGCCGAGGATGGTAGGCTGACCGCTCTGCAGAGACTGGGTCCGTTCGCGTTCTTCATGTTCGCGGCGACCAAGCTCCTCCCAAGCGCGGCGGGCCTCTTCTTTGGAGATCTGGAGCTCCTTCTTCATCTCCCTGACGCGTTCATCGTTGGCGGAGTGCTGACGCTCCTTCTGGATAGCTGCCTGAACAGCATTCTCTCTAGCACGTCTCTCCTCGTCAAGGGCCGACTCTAACATGGCGTTGACCTCCTGAGCACGCTCCAGCTCAGCCCGGGTCTCGAAGAACCATCGCTGGAACTTGCGTTCAGAACTAGCGCGGAGGCGCTGCAACTCGACGACGGCGTGGAAAAGGTTGGCACCGGCCGCAGTAAGATCGGTGACCTGGCGAGAGAGCGCTTGGTTGACAGGATCACGCTCAATGTCCTGGTTGTTCTGTTCAAGTCGTCGAATCCAGAAGCTGGTGAGACCCTCCCAATGAGCCGATAAGGTTTCCCAACGCTCAAACGCGTGGGGAAATGAGTTTCTGGGTCTCGATCCCGTAGCGCCAGACTCCTGGGCTCCTTGAACAGAGGTGTTAGCAGGCTGTTGAGTGGTGCTGGCCTGAGGGGCTGTGCTGTAGGGTTGCTGGCCGGGCTGAGACGTCGACGCCGTTCGACCGTGTCGAGTCTGCGGCTGAGTCGTTGTGGGCTGGCGGGAACTTCCTCCCGGGTTGGTTCGGGTTTGTGGGGTATCGGTAGCTACGGGTCGCCGGTGAGAGGTGGGGTCCTGCTGGGGCACGTTGGCGGCGCCACCAGCTGTTCCTCCTCCGGCAGCGCCAGTAGCGGCGGTGGCAGCTCGGCGCTCCGCATTCCGTCTCTGCGTCTCCTCCAATAGGCGAGCTTCCTGCTCGGCTCGCTGTCTCTCCAACTGCATCTGTTCCTGTTCGGCTCTCTGACGGGCTGCCTCTCTAGCAGCGCGCTCCTGCATGATCATTCTAGGACCACGAATTCCAGAAGGCGAGCTGGTAGGGTTAGGGGCGCCAGTGGTGCGCTGGCGAGTGGAAGCCGAGGCATTACCGTTGGAAGCGGCAGTGCCGCCTCCGATCAGGTCAGCCATTGATGCGCCTTCTTCTATCTCGTCGGGCGTGAACAGGTTAGGTTGCCGAAGCGCCTCCTCAAGAGCGAAGAGGATGGCACTGCGAGTGTTTCTGGAAACGCGATGGGGTCGGTGAGACTCGCGTCGGGTATGAGAAGACGTTGATGTTGGGTCTCGGAATAACAGAGCTTCGTCGGAGGACTCTTCGTCAAAGTCCTCGCTCAGATCCTGTGAGAGAACTCTTCGCGCACGTGAATTTCGTCGATCGAGGGGAGCGACGGTTCGAGGGTAATCGTAATTAAAAGTCGGGGCAGGCGCAAGTGTTGGCGTGGGCGCAGGCGCAGGCGCGGTCGCAACTTGTGGTTTGGGACTGAAACCTACTGATGCGGCCTCAATGTGGACCTGGCGGGCAGACTGCGGTGTAGGACTTGGGGTCGCAACGGATCGCGAAGTACGTCGAAGGGTGCGGTGGGAGAGTTGGGACGAAGCTGGAGTGGTTGGTCTCTCAGCGACTGGATCTGGGGTAATGTTTCGCGCTTGCCTCCGCTGCTGCTGGCGCTGCGCAGAAGGGGTCGTGATTTCGTGAATTTCGTGACGGTCGTTAGAAGGCGTGGGGGGAGTTTGGTCTGTCAACTTGACAATGTTGCCCAGGTCACTGCTCTGACCTGTTGGGGTAGACAAGTCGGAATTATCACCACCTTGGTGGTGATTCGGAACTGAGAAATGAGGTAGTGTGGGTGGTGTTGAGGAGGATCTGGGGGAACGCTGATCCAGCAAGAGTCAGCAAGTACCGAAAGGTAAGAACACGGAGGTGGTGTGGATTGTGCGAAAGTCGAGTTACATGGGAAACCGGGCAGGGAAAAAAATGGGTGAGGTTGGAGGGAACAGGGTACAACTTACTCGGTAGGGTGGTATCTTGATGATGGGGTCCTGATACCACACCCAAAAATATTGTCGAAGGCGGTCTGTATGAGCAAGTTGCTACTGCTCAGCAGAGACGAATTGAAGGCGGAGAAGTGAGGGTCCAGAGAAATGGAGTCCAAGAAAGAAGAGAAAGGTGCTAAGCCGGAGGTCTGAGGTGAAGAAATTCGAGAGGCTGGAGGTTGGAGCTTGGGTTGAGAAAAAGAGGGTGGCTAGGCGACAATGCGCTTTGGCAGCGTGGGCGGAATTGGACGGATAGATTGGAAGAAGCGTAATTCGAACGGATAAGAGTGAGACTGGAGCCACCTCACTGCTGCCAGTGGTCGAATTGAGCTGAGCGACCTCTTTGAAATGAATTTGTCGGGACTGCTACTGATTGCGTGCAGTGAAGATGTTGAAAATGGCGAAGATGGCGATGCTGAAGATGTGAGATTTTTGGTGGTCGAAGTGAGAGGAAGAAAGGCC